TCCCTCCTCTCAGAAAGCTGTTACTGGGTTTAAGGAAATAGAATATACTAAGAAAAGTAAGTGGTAGATGTTCACTATTATATATTCTCACGCTCCTCCAATCTGAACAGCATTATTTGTAGAAGTCATCTACAGTAAGTGATGCATGGAGCACTTTTGTCCGTCCGCTGGCGTGGCTGTGGGCCAGGATCAGGATTCAGTAATACAGTGCTTGTTGACTCAGGGCTTTTTTATTTTTCTGAGCTCAGCCGAAAGCAGCGTCAGCTCATGATGTGTGGTGTGTGCAGGTCATTCTCCATGTCCACGCAGGCCTGGGAAGGTTGCTTTTTAAAATACATTCACTGCAGATTACTAAATGCATGATTCAAAGTGTAATTAGCAATGTGTTTAGGTAGATTCCTCGGGTTTTGTAACTTAAAGGGGTAGTTCACGCAAAACTGAAATTTGATTCTGTGTTTACTTATCGAGTCAAAATAGATCAGCATGAACTGCTGAGTCAATATTAGCAGTGAAGCAATCGGCACAAAAGAATCGCTGAGTCAAAATTAACAGTGAAGTGATCTGCACAAAAGAATCGCTGAGTCAAAATTAACAGTGAAGTGATCTGCACAAAAGAATCACTGAGTCAAAATTAACCGTGACGTGATCAGCACGAAAGAATAGCTGAGTCAATATTGATAGTGAATCGATCAACACAAACTGCTGAGTCAAAATTAACAGTGAATCCATCGGCACATAAGAATCACTGAGTCAAAATAGATAGTGAAGCAATCGGCACAAAAGAATCACTGAGTCAAAACTGACAGTGAAGCGTTTGTCGCAAGAGAATCACTGAGTCAAAATAGATAGTGAATCGATCAACACAAACTGCTGAGTCAAATTTAACAGTGAAGTGATCGGCACAAAAGAATCGCTGAGTCAAAATTAACAGTAACGTGATCAGCACGAAAGAATAGCTGAGTCAATATTGATAGTGAATCGATCAACACAAACTGCTGAGTCAAATTTAACAGTAACGTGATCAGCACGAAAGAATCACTGAGTCAAAATTAACAGTGAAGTGATCAGCACAAAAGAATAGCTGAGTCAATATTGATAGTGAATCGATCAACACAAACTGCTGAGTCAAAATTAACAGTGAATCCATCGGCACATAAGAATCACTGAGTCAAAATAGATAGTAAAGCAATCGGCACAAAAGAATCACTAAGTCAAAACTGACAGTGAAGCGTTTGTCGCAAGAGAATCACTGAGTCAAAATAGATAGTGAATCGATCAACACAAACTGCTGAGTCAAATTTAACCGTGACGTGATCAGCACAAAAGAATCACTGAGTCAATATTGATAGTGAATCGATCAACACAAACTGCTGAGTCAAAATTAACAGTGAATCCATCTGCACTTAAGAATCACTGAGTCAAAATAGATAGTGAAGCGATCGGCACAAAAGAATCGCTGTGTCAAAATTAACAGTGACGTGATCAGCACAAAAGAATTACTGTGTTAATATTGATAGTGAATCGATTGGTACAAAAGAAGCACTGAGTCAAAATAGATAGTGAATCGATCAACATAAACTGCTGAGTCAAAATGATGGGTGAATCGATCGTCACAAAACAATTACTAAGTCAAAATTGACAGTGAATCGATTGACAAAAGAACCGCTGAGTCAAAATTGACTGAGGCGATTGAAAAAAGAACCGCTGAGTCAATATCGACTTAAGCAATTGACAAAAGAATCACTGAGTCAAACTTGACTGAAGCGATTGACAAAAAAAATCACTGAGTCAGAATTTGCAGTGAAGCGATTGATGCAAAAGAATCACTGAGTAAAAATTTGCAGAGAAGCGATTGATGCAAAAGATTCACTGAGTCAAAATTTGCAGTGAAGCCATTGATGCAAAAGAATCACTGAGTCAAAATTTGCAGTGAAGCGATTGATGCAAAAGAATCACTGAGTCAAAATTGACTGAAGCGATTGTCGCAAAAGAATCGGTTTGTCAAAATTGACTGAAGCGATTGACAAAAGAATCACTAAGTCAAAATTTGCAGTGAAGCGATTGATGCAAAAGAATCACTGAGTCAAAATTGACTGAAGCGATTGACACAAAAGAATCAGTTAGTCAAAATTGACTGAAGCGATTGACACAAAAGAATCACTGAGTCAAAATTGACTGAAGCGATTGACGCAAAAGAATCGCTAAGTCAAAATTTTCAGTGAAGTGATTGACTAATGAATCACTGAGTCAAAATTAACTGAAGCGATTGACACAAAAGAATCGCTGAGTCAAAATTTGAAGTAAAATGATTGGCACAAAAGAATCACTCCATACATTTTGACCATTAGAAGCTGCTTATATTCACTCACTGCTGACACACAACTGTGTTCAAACCCCTTATTAAAGTCAGATTAGGATCCTGACGCTGATGAACACAGTCACAGCGCAGTATTTCAGTGTCGGGGGTGTGGAAGGGTCAGTTCGGCCTTGAGAAAACGCTCGACGGCACATTCCCCTGTTGTTCTTGGCGCTGCTATTGATGATGAAACGGGTCTGTCTATAAAAAGAGACAGCGGTGAAGGCTTCATGAGCTCAAATCACTCAATATATTCCCTCTGGATGGATCTCGGAGGAGTCTCGCTCTTTATCTCACCGGGACATTAAAAGTGACAAATATAATTGCCGCTCAACTCGGTGATTAGCATTCATTCTGTCGTTTATGATTGTCATTTATTTACCAGAGCCAAGCTGCAACAATACTGTGGAAGTACGGTAATCGCTATGAATGTCTAAGCATGCAGTCCTTGAGTTTATGATGGTTTTGTTTGTTGCCTTGAGAGAGGAATCCATCTGCTCATTTTCATTAAGATATGAAGAGACCGTGTTGGGTTATGAGTGATCGGTCTGTGCAAGAAACTGAACATTATTAACAGAATCACAGCCTCTGCCATTGTATAGTATTACAATTATATCACATTATTATAAAGTAAAAAGTGTGTCACGTGGTGCAGTGGGTAGCACGATCAATTCACATAAAGAAGGTTGCTGGTTCGAGCCAGGGTCAGTTGGCGTTTCTGTGTGGAGTTTGCATGTTCTCCATGCCTTCGCGTGGGTTTCCTCCGGGTGCTCTGGTTTCCCCCACAGTCCAAACACATGCAGTACAGGTGAATTGGGGAGGCTAAATTGTCCGTAGTGTATGAGTGTGAATGAGTGTTTGGATGTTTCCCAGTGTTGGGTTGCAGATGGATAAAAAGTATTTTATTTTGGTTGAAAATTATCTATATTTTTTTATATCTATATCTATCTATATCTATAACAAAAATCTTTTTGTTATATATCAAAAACTTTTACATGTTATTTATTTTATTTTACATTTAATTTACTGTATTTTACGTGTTATTTAATTAATTTTATTTTACATTTAATTAAATTAAATTTATTTTACATTTATTTTAATCTGTCTTACATTTAATTAAATTTAGTTTAATTTATTTGTACATTTAATTTCATTTAACATGTAATTAAAATTATTTACATTAAATTTATTTTACATATTATTTAGTTTAATTTATTTTACAAGTATTTTAATTTATTTCAGTTTATTTTACATTTAATTTAATCTAGTTAAATTTTAAATGTAATTTAATTTAATTTATTTTGCATTTGATCTATTTTATTTTACCTGTATTTTAATTTGTTTTACATTTAATTTAATTTAATATGACATGTTATTTAACTTAATTTATTTTACATTTATTTTATTTATTTTTATGTTATTTATTTTACATGTAATCTAGTTTAATTTATTTTATATGTAATTTCATTTATTTTGCATTTTATTTATTTTAAATTTAATAAACTTATTTTAAATGTAATTTAATTTATTTTGCATTTAATTTAGTTTAGTTTAATTTTACATGTAATTTAATTGAATTTATTTTACATTTAATCTATAGTTTAATTTTACACGTAATTTATTTTCATATATTTTACATGCAATTTAATTTAATTTAATTTATATTTAATCAATATTTTTTTATTTTACATTTAATTTATTTGAATTTAATTTGATATGTAGTTTAATTTGTTTTATTTTACATTTAATTTAATTTAATTAATTCAAAATTTTATTAAATGTATTTATTTTACATTTAATTTAATTTTACATTTAATTTAATTTAATTTTACATTTTAGTTTTATTTTACATTTAATTTAATTTAATTTTACATTGTATTTAATTAATTTTACATTTATTCATTGCCATTCAAATTCATTTTTAAAAAGTGACATAAAAATGTATTTGTTTAGTGAAAACTTAACAAATCTTTTTTTGGAACTGTACTTTTGTCATATTGATTTGACATATTCTTGATTATTATTGCATTTACATTTCCTGAAACATTTTAATTTAATTTTATTTTATTGCATTTTTTACAAAAGAAACTCCATAACATTTCTGATTTGAGGTATAAATACGCAAAGAATTTTATCAATTTAATTTATGTTATGCATAACACACACACACACACACACACAATTGTACAACTGTCTTTATGGGGACTGTAACCTATACAGGTAACAATCTGCATTCATAGGCATTCATTTTCAAAATACTTAAATTTGTCTGATTTATGAGATGTTTTCCTCATGGGACCAAAATAATGTCCCAATGAGATCAAAATTTTCTGGTATATACTTGTGGTGACTTTGGTCCCCACAATGACATGAACATACACATTCACCCTAAAAGTGTGTATCATTGTCTTTTCTGCGGGTCATTTGTGTGTTCTGCTCTATTGTGTTGAACTCTCTCTCTCTCTGACTCTCTCAGCAAATCACACTGATCATGGCTGATAATGGTTTGGTAACGAGCCAAAGCCTCAACGAGCTTTTAATGGGCTGATTTTGAGAGGCAGATGAAGCTGCTCTTGAGTGAGGGTCAGTGATAAAGATATGACACATTTAAATAGCTGCACTAATGTATGCATTATTCCCCCAGACTGCCGTGATGTGCTGTTACCCATGATGCTTCGGGAACTGGCAGGGGGTCTGGCGTTGATGGAGGGACTTCAGGATGAGAAGAAAAACAGCATCGAACTGCTCAACAACATCCTGGAGGTGCTCAGCCGCAGCGACGTGGTAAGAGCCAATCAGAGATCAGCACAGCCATACACCAGCCAATCAGAGATAAATATAACCATACGCTTGCCAATCAGAGGTCAATACATCAAACGCCAACCAATCAGAGATCAGCACAGCCATACACCAGCCAATCAGAGATCAGTATAACCATAGGCCCGCCAATCAGAGGTCAGCACAAACATACACCAGCCAATCAGAGATCACCACAGCCATACACCAGCCAATCAGAGATCAGTATAACCATACGCTTGCCAATCAGAGGTCAGCACCATCAAACGCCAACCAATCAGAGGTCAGCACAAACATACACCAGCCAATCAGAGATCACCACAGCCATACACCAGCCAATCAGAGATCAGTATAACCATACGCTTGCCAATCAGAGGTCAGCACCATCAAACGCCAACCAATCAGAGGTCAGCACAAACATACACCAGCCAATCAGAGATCACCACAGCCATACACCAGCCAATCAGAGATCAGTATAACCATACGCTTGCCAATCAGAGGTCAGCACCATCAAACGCCAACCAATCAGAGGTCAGCACAAACATACACCAGCCAATCAGTGATCAGCATTATTATTATTATTATTATTATTGTTGTTACTATTATTATTATTATTATTATTATTATTATTATTGTTGTTGTTGTTGTTGTTGTTGTTGTTGTTGTTGTTATTATTATTGCTATTTAATAGCAATATAATATTATTCATATTATTATTGGCGTTATTGCTGTTATTATTATTATTATTATTAAATTATGTATGATTGTTTATTATTTATTAATTATGATTAATACTTTTTATAATACAATGCAACAATTTTAATAATAATAGTAATAATGATAATAATTATAATAATAATATAATAATAATAAAAAAATTAATAATAATAATGGTAATAATAATAATAACAACAGCAACAACAGCAATAATAATAATCATAATAACATAATTGTTATTATTGTTATTTTATTATTATTGTTGTTATTATTATAAACTATATTTTTATTATTATTGTAAAAATAGTTACTATTATTATTATTATCATTATTATTATTATTATTATCATTCTTAAAAATTGTTGCATTATATCATAAATAGTATTAATAAAAAATAATAAATAATAATTAATTAAAAATATAATTCAAATACTACTACTACTACTAATTATTGTTATTGTTGTTTATTATTATTATTATTATCATCATGTTATTATTATTATTGTTATTATTATTATTATTATTATTAAAAGTTATATAATATAAATATTATTAATTATAGTTAATACATACTAATTAATAAATGATAATATAATAATTATAATAATACATCATAATAATGCAATAAAATTAATAATTAACAAATAATAAATAAATAAATAATAATAATTATTATTAGTAGTAGTAGTAGTTGTATTTGATTGTATTATTGTTATTATTAAAACTAGTTGAATTATATCATATAAATAGTAATTATTCATACAATTATTAATAGAGTATTTTGAACAATATTTGTGTTTTTGTTAAATCATTCATGATTGCTGTGCCGTGATGCCTTATTTCAGCAGGATTGTCTGCCAGCAAGCACAGAAATGTGGATTTAAATCTTCAAAATTTTTGTGGATGCGATTATAAAAAAATGCACCTAATGAAACACAGACACACACACACACACACACACACACACACACACACACTCACGTAGATGCAAAACCTGAGCGTGTTTTTAATTACTAAAATGGCAGCGGATTACACTCGGCTTCTTTGAAGTCTCATGCTGTAATCTCACTTTGCGAACGCTGATGCATTTAGACACTGAACTTCCTGCACTTTCAGTCAGAGAGAGAGAGCGAGAGAGAGAGATAATGAAAGAGGTCAGACACCGCTGTGTGTTTATCAGCTCTGCCTGTTTAACAGAGAACTGTTGCTCCATCACTCACACAAACACTCTTTTTACTCTGCGTGTGTGTGTGTGTGTGTGTGTAGACTGTGAGGTCAGACATTAATGCTTATTTGGTGGTTAGAACTGTTGCCTCACAGTAAGAAGGTCACTGGTTTGAGTCCTTGCCGGTTCAGTTGGCATTTCTGTGTGGAGTTTGCATGTTCTCCCTGTGTTGGCGTGGGTTTTGTCCTGGTGCTCCGGTTTCGACCACAGTCCAAACACTTGTACTATAGGGGAATTGATGAACTAAATTAGCCGTAGTGTGTGTGTGTGTGTGTGTGTGTGTGTGTGTGTGTATATATGAATGAGTGTGTATGGGTGTTTCCCAGTACTGGGTTGCAACTGGACGGGTATCCGCTGTTTGAAACGTATGCTGTAATGGTTGGCGGTTCATTCCGCTGCGGTGACCTCTGATCAATAAAGAGACTAAGCTGAAGAAAAATGAATGAATTGTGTGTGTGTGTGTGTGTGTGTGTGTTTGTGTGTGTGTGTGTGTGTGTGATGTGAGTGTGAGTATGTCAGATGAGGGGAGGAGTTCAGA